CCTCGTGGAGTTGCAATGATCATGAGAACGGTAAGGAATCAGCCCAGAACTACACGGGAGGATCTTGTCAATGATCTCAAGGCAGCTGGGACCATAGTCACCAAGAAAACAATTGGTAACACACTACGCCGTGAAGGACTGAAACAATGCAGCGCCCGCAAGGTCCCCCTGCTCAAGAAAGCACATATACTTGCCTGTCTGAAGTTTGCCAATGAACATCTGAATGATTCAGAGGAGAACTGGGTGAAAGTGTTGTGGTCAGATGAGACCAAAATCGAGCTCTTTGGCATCAACTCAACTCGCCGTGTTTGGAGGAGGAGGAATGCTGCCTATGACCCCAAGAACACCATCCCCACTGTCAAACATGGAGGTGGAAACATTATGCTTTGGGGGTGTTTTTCTGCTAAGGGGACAGGACAACTTCACTGCATCAAATGGACGATGGACGGGGCCATGTACCGTCAAATCTTGGGTGAGAACCTCCTTCCCTCAGCCAGGGCATTGAAAATGGGTCGTGGATGGGTATTCCAGCATGACAATGACCCAAAACACACAGCCAAGGCAACAAAGGAGTGGCTCAAGAAGAAGCACATTAAGGTCTTGGAGTGGCCCAGCCAGTCTCCAGACCTTAATCCCATAGAAAATCTGTGGAGGGAGCTGAAGGTTTGAGTTGCCAAACGTCAGCCTCGAAACCTTAATGACTTGGAGAAGATCTGCAAAGAGGAGTGGGGCAAAATCCCTCCTGAGATGTGTGCAAACCTGGTGGCCAACTACAAGAAACGTCTGACTTCTGTGATTGCCAACAAGGGTTTTGCCACCAAGTACTAAGTCATGTTTTGCAGAGGGGTCAAATACTTATTTCCCTCATTAAAATGCAAATCAATTTATAACATTTTTGACATGCGTTTTTCTGGATTTTTTTTGTGTTATTCTGTCTCTCACTGTTGAAATAAACCTTAGACTTATCATGTCTTTGTCAGTGGGTAAACGTACAAAATCAGCAGGGGATCAAATACTTTTTTCCCTCACTGTATGTGCTATGAGATATTAAACTCTCTAAGGCCTAATGTCAACAATGCTCCCCTCACTGTATGTGCTATGAGATATTAAACTCTCTAAGGCCTAATGTCAACAATGCTCCCCTCACTGTATGTGCTATGAGATATTAAACTCTCTAAGGCCTAATGTCAACAATGCTCCCCTCCCTGGCTTGGAGAGATAAACATGGCTGGCCATTTAAAATTATGTTTTTGTACAGGCTACATCGCACATAAAGGCATGGGGCTTTACTGGATCTTCTTATTGCTCACTCTGCAATGAGTAAGCTAATGAGATACTCAAAAGAAGACAACCATAACTGAAATAGACACAACTCGGGCATCACCCAACTGACATACAGTATCTTTACTGCAGGTAACAACTCTGAATGTCAATTTCTGGATAAATTCAATTATTCATGGTCTCTATATTAAGATCAAATGTATAACGGTAAATGCTGCATTGAAGAAAACGAGGCCAAACCATTGGCTGAAACTCTACAAATCCGCTGTTACGCACCTTCCGTGTTACAACGTTTGAGACAATGATTTCTGTTTTTAGACATTCCATCTGATATCTGGGGACACGGGTCGAAACAATATTGCGTGAAATACATAATGCCATCTCTCTGGTCCATGACACAATAGGATTTGGCACAGCACAGGTAGCATACAAAGAGATGCAGGGATAGAACATAATAAGGGTTTGTAATATAACGGAGGCGCTGCAATCTTGGTTATACAGTGCTATAAAAAGGCGGATGTAAGTATATGGAGAACAAACCATCTATCGTTTATTTCATATTTTATCACAAATATGCCTACTGTAAATTGAGACAGTAGCCAACATAAACCAAAGCTGTAGGGTGAACGTGTTCCATTTACAATCATTAAAAATAATATAATGAAAATGCCAAATAGCCAATTATCTCCCCAATTCGAGCTATGCCAAATAGAATCACGCATTTATAATCAAATGAAACGACACTGTCCTTTTCCAGCGCACACACACATCTCTGAAGGATGGAGCAATCGTCAGCAGGTCAATGAAAATGAAAGGCTGTGACAAGGTCAGCAGCCTACTGAAAATAAAGACACCATTTATGACTAAGAAAATATGCAAGAATAAAGGACAAGCTCCCAACACCTTATAAGTGATCTTGTTTGCCCGCAAATCGGCCTTGAAGTTGCCCACTGCGCCTTGTATCTCCTATCCACAGCTCTTCGACCCTCTTTGTGTTGCTGATGCTGCGGGTGCTCGCACAGACACGCGCGCACGGCAAAGCGCACAGACGGCGGCACAGAAACTGAGTCCTGCACAGCTGCACGCACGTGAGGCGGGAGGGTGTGGCTGGTGGAGGCTGTGCACAAAAATCACCCAACGTCCACTACCGATCTCCGCTATGATGTCACTCATCAGTTTGTCTTTAATGGTTGCCTATATATAGCATATATTCACACAAATAGCTTTGGCTATTGATCTGATATAGGCTTAATGTCTGGAAAGGCCCAGTGTTTTATTCGGAGTGGAGGTGCTTGTTTGTCATTGACAGTCTTCACAGTCTGTCACAGTGAAGTGGCCTATCATATTTCTGTCTTTGATCATTAGTATTGCTCTAATCAAAATCTCACTTCCGTCAGCCGCAGTGCAATGGATCTCAAAATATTGGGCAAAAATGATATGTGAAGAATGCGCGCTCTCTCTCAATTAATTTATGAGGCATAACGTATTCACACCGTTATTGTTCTTTGAGCAAGACTGGCCAAAAGACTGACTTCTTTGTACTGTGTGCATCTTGAGCCACCCCTGGCAAAAGGAACCAGATGAATTACCATTTTTACTTGCAATAGGAGTGGGTGCTTCAATCGTTCCTAAAGCATAAAGGTCTCCATAGTTGGGGACCATTCCAATTATTTAACACCACCCTAATAGTCCTAGGCTTAAAGTCATGATTTTTTAAAATGATAGATGACAAAACATTTTGGCAACCTTTTATCAGATCAATGTGCAAAAATGCTGCTGGAAAGGCATTCATAAATTAATGCAGTCAGAAACTGAAACAGCTCCTTGCAATTGTAGGTAGGCTGGTCTTCCAGTAGGAGTCGGTATAGGATCAATGATTTATATATACACAAGTCCTTCCCTCCTCTGTCTGCTCCCAGACCCAGGGAGAATATCAATTGATTTTCCTTGATTCCTCAGGTCCTCTCTCCTCACCTCCCCCCGTCTCCCTCCGGTCCCCCGGACTTCCTACCCCCTCAACAAACATTTACCCTGCCCCCACCCCCCCAATGGACATTGTTACAGTTGTAAATGTGTATATTATTATAACTTTTATTATTGTCTCATTGACTTCTCACTTTCCCCCCTGCTGCTCCCCCTATGGACATTCTACACCCCTCCCCAACGGACACTTACCCTGCCCCCACCCCCCAATGGACATGTATCATTGCTACAGTTGTAAATGTTTATGTTATTATTATTTTCTCATTCACTTCTCTTTTTTTGACCTGCACTGTTGGAGCTCGGCACATAAGAATTTCACTGTACCCTGCAATTACATCTGCGACGCTGTGCATGTGACTAATAAACTCATCTAATCTAAATTAAATAAAATGGTATTCGTCACATGCTTTGTAAACAACAGGTGTAGACTAACAGTGAAATGCTTTCTTATGGGCCCTTCCCAACAATGCAGAGGAAAAAAATAACATGAGGAATAAATGCAAAATGAGTAACAATAACTTGGCTATATACATGGGGTACCAGTACCGAATCCATGTGCAGGGGTATGAGGTAATTGAGGTAGATATGTACATACTGTATATTTAGGGATAAAGTGACTAGGCAACAGGATAGATAATAAACAGTAACAGCAGCATATGTGTTGAGTCAAAAGAGTTAGTGCAAAAAGGGGTCAATGCAGGTAGTTAAATAGTTAACCAATAGCTACCCGGGCTAACTATTTAGCAGACTTATGGCTTGGGAGTAGAAGCTGTTCAGGGTCCTGTTTGTTCCAGACTTGGTGCATCGGTACCGTTTTCCGTGCGGTAGCAGAGAGAACAATCTATGACTTGGGTGGCTGGAGTCTGACAATTTTTAGGGCCTTCCTCTGACACCGCCTGGTATAGAGGTCCTGGATGGCAGAGAGCTCGGCCCCAGTGATGTACTAGGCCGTATGCACTACCCTCTGTAGCGCCTTGCGGTCGGATGCCAAGCAGTTGCCATACCAAGCGGTGATGCAGCCAGTCAAGATGCTCTCAATGGTGCAGCTGTAGAAATTTTTAGGATCTGAGGGCCCATGCCAAATCTTTTCAGCCTCCTGAGGGGAAAGAAGATTTGTCGTGCCGTCTTCACGACTGTGTTGGTGTGTGTGGACCAATCTAGTGGTAAAGAGAGTTGAGCCTGAAAGGTCACTCAGTGTTTTCCCTAGGATCTATTTCAGCAATGGTGGCAAGGGTGGGGGGGGGGGGGGGGCATTGCTTCTAGCGTTAGTGCAATGACATGCTAGCTGTTCCCATAGACTTACAGCCATTGAGCCAATGCCTATTTGAAAGAGCATCCCGGCAGAAATATATATTAAAAAATACATCATTTTTTGCAACTGTGGCAACAATTCAGATGAATATAGGGGAAACACTGTCACTGGTTTGAATACCCTAGCCAACTAGGTGAGAGGAAAAAAACGGTCGATGTGACCTTGAGCAAGGAGCTTACCCCTAATTGAGCCAGTAAGTCACTCTGTTTTTATTTTACCTTTATTTAACTAGGCAAGTCAGTTAAGAACAAATTCTTATTTACAATGACGGCCTACACTGGATCAGAGCTAAATGACCAAAATGTAAATGTGAGAGAGGAAGCGAGGAATCAAAGAAATACAACCGAGTCTCCCCCAGCAGGACGATATTTAGTCCACAACTACAACTCCCACAATCCCCTCTGATTGACGGTTTCGTCTTTTTGCAGTCGTTTTGGTAGTAGCAGCCGTCTGCAGTCAGAAGTTATGGTACGTGGTAGTTTACAAACTTTTTTTCTCCTTATACAAAAAACAATAACATATACCTGTCAGCTACCCAACAGATATCATTCAGAGACCGATGATGCCTCCGCGAAAGCAGGATTTCGGAATTAAAAGCTCAGGATGGGCCAGGAGCGGGTCCGTGATAAACTTCAGACAAACAGTGAACTCGGGCTCTTTGCGCAGATCTGCTGTCTTGCCATCCGTGCTGACGTTTGCTGTCATCGTGGCGTCTGGGGGCCTTCTGCTCATGATAGAGAAAGGAATGCTGAATAGTATTGAGACACCTCCAGTTCGGGGAAACAGCAAGAGGTCAGACTACCTCAGACAAGCCCGACATCTTGATCCAGCTGTGGACGCAGAATCCCAGGTCAACGGAAGACTTTTAAAACCACTAAGATTTCCAGCAGGACTAGCCCACTGGAGGGGGGAGTTAGAATAGATACGTACGGCGAGACACCCGAAGGGTACTTCCGTTACTACTATGTTTTTGTATCGTTATATAAATATTTTGGATATGCTTGGTTGGTCATTTTTTAACATTCTTCATGTCGTCTTAATCAACAAACTACATCATACCTAAAAACACTCATTCTAAACGTAAAAATGTTAGCAGAACAGACCGTCACATGGAATGCACATCACGATTATCACCCAAAGAGACGATTCCAACGGACTTTCTTAACTAGCTAACCTTGCTTTTAAAATGCCGAAAAGCTGTGGCGTACCGTTTTGTTTGAAAAATAGGAGAAAAAGACCACCAAATGAAGTTTCATCAACTGCCCAAGTACCAAGTTAGACGAACCTCATGGTTTCAGGCTATTACGCCGCGATGCACTTCAACACCGGTAGTCGCTAACACTTGTTTGTATCTAACTAGCAATGTGTATTGCATAAATCTAGCTATTTAGCTTGTATTAAGGACTAATGAGCTATATCCATCCAAATAACAGCTATAATATTCTTCTGCATTTGGATATTTATGCAATCCTGGAGATTCCACCAAGTAGGTGTATATAATTAGCTATCGCCATAGGAGGCTACTTTGGCCCATTTGGTAGGGTTTTCTCCGCAGCTGGTCTCCGGCAAGTTGAAAGGACATATTATAGGCAAGCCAAAAATAAACAACTTTTCTAAATAGCCCTTGACCGTTCAAGAGCATGACAAAGACTGGAAGTAGTTACGCGACATATCTAAGAATAGCTAGTTAGATCTAGATTAACTTCCCTCGCTAGCCAGTCAGCTAACCGGAAAGAAAGCTAAGCGTAAACAAACAGTGACGTAAGTATGATGCGACAGCTTTACTGTCAATGTCAGCAGGTCGAGTAACAAATTAGTGGCAGAATAAGTATCATGAAAATAATTTGTTGTTTGGAAGTGATGCAGACAATTACATTGATGGAAGTTACAATCTATCTGCAATATTAAAGCTGATATACCCCCTAAAATATATATATATATATATATACATTTGTTGTTGTGACATTCAAGTATGTTAACGACACGTGAGGCTCCTGAAAACATTTATTGAAAGGAGAAAAAAGTTTCAGTTTGCTTAGGATGCTAACTTAGGATGCCGCCACAAGTTAGGCTAATTACATGAGAGTAACTGCTGTACCCTACTCGGGGGCATGGTCACGTTAAGCCACGCCTTGCTGTGTATCTATAGTAGAATACAAAGGTGCAATTTCTTAATTTGGTTGTGCATCAGCAGTTTCTCTTGTTATGTCTGTCACTCAATTAGCCCATGTCGGCAAACACATTTTTAGATTGGTAAATTGGTCTAGCCAGCTATCTAAACTTGTAGTAATCATGGTCAAATTACCTCCCCCCATTGATTTTGTTAGTCACTCTCACTCAGATATCATATTCAAAATGGCAAACATTTCTCTCCACCCTATGGCAAAATAAGTAGAATTGCAGGAAATTACCTGTAAAATCGCAAAATTTTCTGTACACTATGGCAAAATGCGTAGAATTGCAGCAAACTTCGCTTTAAACCTGCAACATTTTCTCTTCGCCCCATGGCAAGATGTGTAGAATTGGGCTATTGCGGGCTGACTGCATGTGTGGGTATGGATGTGGGTACGCAGACCCGTGAGTCACTGCGGCCTCTCGTGAGTTCAGATTTTTTGTGGGTCCCACCCCATCAAAGTTGCCCATCCCTGGGCTATATCATAGAAATTAAGTGCTATTTGCATGTGAAAATGTCATGATTACATTGTTTACATTTTGTTAGTTGTCCACTCTTTGATGGAATGCATATCGTAACATGTTGTGTAGGTATTATATTGACGTGAGTGATATTGTATTATGCATGCATTATTATTTTGTGTAACTCTTACATAATAATAGTTATATGTCTAATTTTTTACATCTCCCCAATCAGATTCTCCAGGAGATCCGTAACCGCACCATCCAGACCATATGTGGTCAGAAGAACATGCCCCACAATGTGTGGTCCCTGAGCCCCCTGCAGAGGAAAACCCTGCTGCAGCACATCCTGGTAAACGACAAGCACCGCTTCCTCTACTGCTATGTCCCCAAGGTGGCCTGCTCCAACTGGAAGAGGGTCCTGAAGGTCCTGAGTGGGGCTCTGGAGAATGTGGATGTCAGCATCAAGATGGACCACAAGAGTGACCTGCTTTTCCTGTCCTCCCTGAAGCCGGAGGAGATCCGATACAGGCTGAAACACTACTTCAAGTTCATGTTTGTGCGGGAGCCCATGGAGCGCCTGCTCTCTGCCTACAGGAACAAGTTTGGGGAGATCAAGGCCTACCAAGAGAAGTACGGTGCTGAGATCATCAGGCGCTACAGAAAGGGCCATGCCAAGGATACAGCAGTGGCCGGGGATGACGTGACGTTTTCAGAGTTTGTGCGCTATCTGCTGGACGAGGATGTGGAGCGCATGAACGAGCACTGGATGCCCATCTACAACCTGTGCCAGCCATGTGCCGTGTCCTATGACTTCATTGGCTCCTATGAGCATCTGGAGAGTGATGCCGACTATGCGCTACAGCGTATTGGTGCACCTCTACACGTCCACTTCCCTGAGAGACAGACGTGGTACAAGCCTGTCACCACGGAGACGCTGCACTATTACCTGTGCAGTCTGCCACAGAAGCTACTCAGGGAACTCCTGCCCAAGTACATTCTAGACTTTTCCCTGTTTACTTACCCCCTCCCCAACACAACCACTGAATACTGCAGACATTAACTGCAATATTGTATTGTATAACTGGAAAATATTTTTATACAGTATCTTGTTACACATTTGCAATGTCTTTTTATTCCTAGGGAACAAGCAGTATTATGATATGTTACTTCTTACATTAGTTACAGAATTGGGAAATAGTTGGAATACATTTGACATTTTAGTCATTTAGCAGACGCTCTTATCCAGAGCGACTTACAGTTAGTGAGTGCATAGATTTTTCATACTGGCCCCCCGTGGGAAACGAACTCACAACCCTGGCGTTGCAAGCGCCATGCTCTACCAACTGAGCTACAGGGGACTATAATATGCAGAAAACCACTAAAACTGGAAAGGAATTGTATTTTAGAAGCAAATAATTTGTATGCATTCCACTTAACTGATACCGTCCAATTGCTCTGATAACTGTGGACTCCATCTGGGCTTCAACAAAACATTGACCCAACTGTCAAAAAAGTATTAAAGCCTCAATTATACATTTTTATCGATCTTTTGTTAATCAATTTTCCTCCACACTCCTATGGGCATTTCTTATGGGTAATTTAAAGACTGTTGTGTTTTGTCTCTGATGTTAGGTACAGATAAGTGCAGTTAATTTTGTATAAACTTTTATTTGAAGGAATAAGTTATTAATTTAGGCATCATAGGAATACTATGTAACATTAAACATGTACAAAAATACCACAGAACACTGAACACAAAGCTGAACTAAGCTGAACTATTCTCCTATCAGTGGTCTAATAACCAAGTTCTAACCAAGCCCAGATTCTTATAAATGCATTTGGTAAAAGTATCTCAGCCCCTGTCTAATGGATGTCCTAACCCAAGAAAAAGCTGAAAATGTACAGGTATAGTTTAATGAGATAATACTATTAGTAGCTCAATAAGTAGATTTCTCATAGAAAAACACAATACAGACAATCAAATTCTTCAAACTATTGACATTGGAATGATATTTGGTGAGAAGACAGCATGATTTCACCTTTGATCTGAGTTTAGTGCATCTTTCATAGGGAAGGAGGAGGAAGCTGACATTTTAGACCATTACAAGCATTTTTGTTGGACACGAGTTACGTGAATAGTTTGTGTGGTGCGTCCAAACTGATACTCTTACAGGCTTCTCATTCATTCACTTCAGCTCCTTCATTTCCCTGTCTGTCCTGTGTCACTCTACTTCTTAAAGCTCACACTTCTGTGGAAAACAGGAATGGAGAAGTCAAATTAATTACAGGCTTGAATACAATGTATTTATTTTTTATTTTATTTTTATAGCCTTAGACCGCTGCGCCACTCAGGAGCCCAATCAATGGGATCTGTAAAGTATTTTTGTTTTATAGATGGTAGAGTATTGCTGCGAGTGCAGTGTGTGTGTGTGCATGTACGTAGTAATGTGAGTGTGACTCACGTCTCTGGTGACCTGTCGGTGGAGCGCTCTGGAGTTTGCAGGATGGAATGTTCTAGTGAGGAGGGGCGGGGACTCAGATCTGCTCGGGGGGGAGGCGCTCCGGAGGAAAGAGAAAGACACCTTGTCTGCGCATCTCCTGCACGGCCCTCTTCCTGAGGAGAGAGACAGCAAGGGCATAAGGGAGAGATAGCGGCCCACAGCCTTATCAATTACACTGAAATGTATTCATTTAGTTTATTGACTATTGAATGTTTAGAGGCTAGGTGCCTGATTAGCACAGAAAATGTAGAGTCATTCAGCTCATCACTCAAAGCGCTCAGTGGTCAGCTGTCTCTTCAGCATGTCCATCTCTGTCTGCAGCTGAGAGACTTTCCCTCTGAGCTGAGAAACCTCTCTGGCATGTCCTTCCCTGCACACACACACTGTTACTTATCTTTATTAAATCAGTAAGACTCAAGATTGTGTGTAATTGAGATGTTATGGGTCTGATGTAATAAGTGGGTCTGTGGAGAAGTACAGTAGTTGACCTGAGGAGCCTTTAGGACCCTATCTCTCACGTTTTGCTGTCAGCGAGGGCCAGTCTGTCCCTCAGAACTCTGACTCCCTCTCACTGGCGCTCAGATGGGTGTGGAACTCTTTCTGCCGATTGGAGGAGAGAAGTGTCTCTAGGTTACGGACATTCAGTCTCTCACTGGCCAGCTGCTTCTTCAGTAGCTCCGCCTCACAGCGCACGTCCTCCAGCTCTTCGGTCACCTGAGAGAGCAGCACCAACACATAGACATGATGAAGGGCATAGTCAACACTATAGCACAGACAGGGCACATTTTGTTATAGCTAGGGTTCCTGCAATTAGCAAGGTCTGTATCACAACTTACTGGTACATGCACTGTGTGTGTGGTGTAAGTTTCCACCATTGCTAAATCCATGACGGGAAGTGAAAAGGGTGGTGGATTGGGATGCAGTCAGAGGGTTTGCTCACCCTCTCCAGCTCCATGCTCTTAGAGGTAAACTGGTGGGTGCTGAGGTCTTTGCTGGAGTCCAGTTTGACACAGAGCTCCCTGACAGAGGCCAGGTCAGAGAGGAGGACAGTCTTCTCCCCCCGGGCCTCCTGCAGCGCCTCCTCCAGCCTGGACATGCCCCGGGCCAGGGACGACACCTGGACCTCGTACACCTGCAGGGCACTCATGTGCTGTAGGGTGGGGACAGAACAGGCTTCCTTTATCACCAATTGCAACAATGCAAGTTAATTCAGTATAGTAGGATGTTGGTTAGAGGTGAGAAAGGACAGACAAACTCAAACTCTCCCCATTGGACTCTTTTCCTACATTATTTTTCTCCACTCACATTGGCCCAACAGTCTCACCTCCTGGATCTCTCCTGATGTCCCACAGTCTCCATGAGGTGTCGTCTCTCCGTGTCTGAGGAGAGCAGCTCCAGGCGGATGGAGTTGTTGAGGCCCTCTGCATGCTGCAGCTTCAGCTCCCGGTCCTCGGACTGCTCCAGCATCTCCCCGTTCTCCTGCTCCTGGGGGCCAACATTATTTAATCAGTCAGTTAAAAAAAACTATTGGAAGGAATCTATAGCATCTTTACTTTGGAATATCTCCATGTTATCTGGATGATGTGTATTTGGCTACACACTGGAAACAGGCATTATCAAGTACAGCAGAATGCTCCGCCTCTTACCTTTGCAATCATCATATTCTCTATCCTTGCCACTTCTGAGATATAGGAGTGAACTCTCATCTTTCTCATGCAAGGCCTCCTCCATCTCAGTATGCACAACCTGGACACAAAACATGTGCAAATGAAACCCAACAATACAGAGTATGTATGACATGTTTGCATCCCAATTAAATAAAGAATAGAGGGTGAGTGTGCCCCCAAGTTAAATATGTCAATTGTGGGTGACAGAAAAGAAACCAGTCTGGTTTGTTATGTTCATAAAAGCTCTTGCATATCAAACTTAGCTCTGTACCTGGTTCTCCCTGGTCATAGTGGCTAGGTCATCCTGTAGTCTCCTGTTCTCTCTCATGACGATCTCTCTTTCTCTCCCCACTCCAGACAGCTCCTCCTGGGAAGAGCCCAGTTGTCTGCGTAGACTGGCTATCTCCCTCTCACGGCTGCTCAGTGCCCCCTTCAGCTGGCTGCAGGTACAACACAATATCACTGATTCACTCTCCACACACACACATATTTGGTAGACATGACTCTCACGAACAGATAATTCTCCCTCACACACTCAAAAAGGTTACACTTACTTTAGAGAGTTATCCATGTCTGTAACAGTAAGCCTTACTTCTTCCAGAGTATTTTCCTGCAGAATGAGAGACCGAACAGTGCTTATTCCCTGTTTGACTGATCTAATAACTGTACTCACGCTCACATATGTAGGTCTGTCAGTGGTCTCTAGTGCCGAGCAGAGATAGTCTTCTGAAGCACAGTCACCTCGTCCCTCTGGGTAGAGCCATGGCGACTTAACTCAACTGGTGAAGAAAACAATTACATTTTATCACTGAATAAACCAAGAGCAGAGTTTGATAAGAAAGTCTAACTAACCGTTTCATCCACCAAAACACACCTATTTTCTCCTCCAGTTTCTCTATCTGCTGGTGGGCAGCATGGACCTCGTTGGTCTTCACAGAGAGCCTGTGTTGAATGTCAAACAGGGACTGTTCCATCTGCTCCTGCAACAGCCTGCACAGACAGAGAATTAGACAATTTCATCACAACAAATAAATATGAACAGCACATAATGACATCACACCATTACCAGACAAAGACAGACAGACAGACAGTACCGTAGTGCACTGGACTCAGCTCTCTGCTGGGCCCTCTCCTCTGCAGTCTGGACCAGGGCAGTGGACCGAACCTTCAGCTCTTCCTCTACAGGAGGAATGGTAATAATGGCAGACTTGATTGATAGCAGTGGTGGTAACATCTTTGTAAGGTGTAATATCTACAAAAAGTAATATAGTCAACTGTAACAGGATCATTTTGCTTTGATTTGGTGAGAAGTTGATCAGTCTCACAGTCTTGGTGTTTTCCAGGTTCAGGATGTTCCTCTCCTCTTCCTCTCTGTCTGTCAGAACGCAGGTCTGGGCAATCTTTAGTCTCTCTCGGAGTGTCTCTCTCGCTGAGGTGATCCTTTGTAGGTCAGTATCAGCCTCCTCCCTCTCTTTCTTCAGCCTCAGGACCTCAGTGAACAGCTCTGATCCTCTCTTTCTGAACCTACACACACAACCAATGTCAAAGACTTGATGATAGCTACTTCCAATTACTGATACACCTCGATTGAGTTATATATTATTTAATGAAACTGCAAACTAAGCTGGCGTCACAGACTTAAATCTCATGCTGTTTGACAAGTTCATCCTTCTACAGTTCAGCTTAATCACAATTATATTTGCTACTACACAGAGGTGGTCTCTTTGGTTTGATTTACAGTGCACTGACTGGTCTCTCTCAGCTGTTTGCATTGTGCACTGAGCTGGTCTCTCTCAGCAGTCAGGGCCTTCACACTGATCTGGATGTCCTCCATGTGTCTTTCAAAGCCCAGCAGTACAGCCTGGAGCTCATCTCTCTCCTTCACTGTCCAGGAGAGCTCTAAATCCACACTGTCCCCCTAAACAGCACATAAAAATACATCCTTTACCATACAAGCTAACGCATATAATAAACATAAGACTTATACAGTAGTACCATGAGTTTATGTAGAGTACCAGTCAAAAGTTTGGACACCCCTACTCATTCCAGGGTTTTTCTTAATTTTTACTACTTTCTACATTGTAGATAATAGTGAAGACATCAAAACTATGAAATATCCAGACGTTTCCGAAGGTTGATAAACTTCCTCTCTGCGTTGGTGTGCATTGCTGCAGCAGTCTACAAAACATAACATAACAAAGCTTCGTAACTATATATACAGTGGGGGAAAAAAGTATTTAGTCAGCCACCAATTGTGCAAGTTCTCCCACTTAAAAAGATGAGAGAGGCCTGTAATTTTCATCATAGGTACACGTCAACTATGACAGACAAAATGAGAAAAGAAAATCCAGAAAATCACATTGTAGGATTTTTTATGAATTTATTTGCAAATTATGGTGGAAAATAAGATTTTAGATTCCGTCTCTCACAGTTGAAGTGTACCTATGATAAAAATTACAGACCTCTACATGCTTTGTAAGTAGGAAAACCTGCAAAATCGGCAGGGTATCAAATACTTGTTCTCCCCACTGTATATATATATATATATATATATATATATATACAGTACCAGTCAAAAGTTTGGACACACCTACTCATTCAAGGGTTTTTCTTTATTTTTACTATTGTCTACATTGTAGAATAATAGTGAAGACATCAAAACTATGAAATAACACATATGGAATCATGTAGTAAGCAAAAAAAGTGTTAAACAAATCAAAATATATTTTTTAGTTGAGATTCTTCAAATAGCCACCCTTTGCCTGTCACACCCTGGCTCTGGGACTCATTATGTTGAGCCAGGGTGTGTTCATTCTATGTGTGTATTTCTATGTTGGTAATTCTGTTGTGTTTAATTCTATGTTTGCCTGAGTGACTCCCAATCAGAGGCAACGAGTGTCAGCTGTTGGCTGGTTGTCTCTGATTGGGAGCCATATTTAAACTGTCTGTTTTCCCTTTGTGTTTGTGGGTTTTTGTTCCGTGTTCGGTCATTGATACCGTGGACGTCACGAGTCGTTTCTTGTTTTGTATTCATGTTTAAACTTTAACTAATTAAAGTATGTTTGTTCATCACGCTGCACCTTGGTTTACTCCTTACCTCGATCGTGACAGAAAAACCCACCATGCAACGACCAAGCAGCGTGTCCAGGGGCAGCCCTTGGGCTGGACATGGGAGGAAGCGCCGGGAAAGGCCCTGGCGAAAGAGGAGCAGCGTGTCCAGGAGCAGGCAGCCTGGACATGGGAGGAGATATTGGACGGTAAAGGGTCCTGGACTTGGGGGGAAATCCTGGCCGGGATGGATCGCCGGCCATGGAGTGAGACGGTGGAGAGGCGCCGTAGAGAGGACCAACGGCGTGATCAGGGTCGTCGTCGGACGGTCGAGAGGCAACCCCAGAACATTTTTAGGGGGGGGCACACGGCATGGACGACGGGGCTGACGGAGGCAAAAGAGGGGCGGATTCTGGAGGCCACCAGGTTACGGATACACCGCCCTGTACGTCCTGTGCGGATGCCTCACACAGAGTGTGTGAGGGTAGGCATTCAGCCAGGACGGGTTGTGGCCGCTCTTCACTCCAGGGCTCCTATCCGTCTCCACAGCCCGGTTCGGCCTGTCCCTGCTCCACGCACCAAGCCTACAGTGTGCGTCGCCAGCCCAGTCCGGCCAGTCCCTGCTCCACGCACCAAGCCTACGGTGTGCGTCGACAGCCCAGCCCGGCCTGTCCCTGCTCCACGCACCAAGCCTACGGTGTGCGTCGCCAGCCCGGTCCGGCCTGTCCCTGCTCCACGCACCAAGTCTACGGTGCGCGTCGCCAGCCCGGCCCGGCCTGTTCCTGCCACTCGCACCAAGTATACGGTGCGCGTCGCCAGCCCGGCCCGGCCTGTTCCTGCCACTCGCACCAAGTCTACGGTGCGCGTCGCCAGCCCAGTCCGGCCTGTCCCTGCTCCACGCACCAAGTCTACGGTGCGCGTCGCCAGCCCAGTCCGGCCTGTCCCTGCTCCACGCACCAAGTCTACGGTGCGCGTCGCCAGCCCGGCCCGGCCTGTTCCTGCCACTCGCACCAAGTATACGGTGCGCGTCGCCAGCCCGGCCCGGCCTGTTCCTGCCACTCGCACCAAGTCTACGGTGCGCGTCGCCAGCCCGGCCCGGCCTGTTCCTGCCACTCGCACCAAGTCTACGGTGCGCGTCGCCAGCCCGGCCCGGCCTGTTCCTGCCACTCGCACCAAGTATACGGTGCGCGTCGCCAGCCCGGCCCGGCCTGTTCCTGCCACTCGCACCAAGTATACGGTGCGCGTCGCCAGCCCGGCCCGGCCTGTTCCTGCCACTCGCACCAAGTCTACGGTGCGCGTCGCCAGCCCGGCCCGGCCTGTTCCTGCCACTCGCACCAAGCCAGGGGTGCGAGTCGTCAGCCTGGTAAGGCCCGTCCCTCCTCCACGCACCAAGCCAGGGGTGTGAGTCGTCAGCCTGGTAAGGCCCGTCCCTCCTCCACACACCAAGCCAGGGGTGCGCGTCGTCAGCCTGGTAAGGCCCGTTCCTCCTCCACGCACCAAGCCAGGGGTGCGCGTCGTCAGTCCAGCACAACCCGTGCCTGGGTCACCGGTGCCTGGTAAGGTACCGGTCAACTGCTCCACTATGGAGCTGAAGCTAACCGCTCCTGCTAAGTCCAGTTCGGCTCCAGCCGGCGGGGACAGACTGGACCAGGGGCGCTATGGGGGGTGTATTGGAGGGTGGTGGTCAAGGCCGGAGCCAGAACCGCCGCCGAGGAGGTATGCCCGCCCAGCCCTCCCCTGTTTTGTTTAGTTGAGGCGCGGTCGCAGTCCGCGCCTTTAGGGGGGGGGTACTGTCACACCCTGGCTCTGGGACTCATTATGTTGAGCCAGGGTGTGTTCATTCTATGTGTGTATTTCTATGTTGGTAATTCTGTTGTGTTTAATTCTATGTTTGCCTGAGTGACTCCCAATCAGAGGCAACGAGTGTCAGCTGTTGGCTGGTTGTCTCTGATTGGGAGCCATATTTAAACTGTCTGTTTTCCCTTTGTGTTTGTGGGTTTTTGTTCCGTGTTCGGTCATTGATACCGTGGACGTCACGAGTCGTTTCTTGTTTTGTATTCATGTTTAAACTTTAACTAATTAAAGTATGTTTGTTCATCACGCTGCGCCTTGGTCTACTCCTTACCTCGATCGTGACATTGCCTTGATGACAGCTTTGCACACTCTTGGCATTCTCTCAACCAGCTTCACCTGGAATGCTTTTCCAACAGTCTTGAAGGAGTTCCCACATATGCTGAGCACTTGTTGGCTGCTTTTCCTTCACACTGCGGTCTGACTCATCCCAAACCATCTCAATTGGGTGGAGGTCGGGGGATTGTGGAGGCCAGGTCATCTGATGCAGCACTCCATCGCTCTCCTTCTTGGTAAAATAGCCCTTACACAGCCTGGAGGTGTGTTGGCTCATTGTCCTGTTGAAAAACAAATGAAAGTCCAACTAAGCCCAAACCAGATGGGATGGCGTATCACTGCAGAATGCTGTGGTAGCCATGCTGGTTAAGTGTGCCTTGTATTCTAAATAAATCACAGACAGTGTCACCAGCAAAACACTCCCACACCTCCTCCTCCATGCTTTACGGTGGGAAATACACATGCGGAGATCATCTGTTCACCCACACCGCGTCTCACAAAGACACGGCGGTTGGAACCAAAAATCCCTCATTTGGACTCCAGACCAAAGGACACATTTCCACCGGTCTATTGTCCATTGCTCGTGTTTCTTGGCCCAAGCAGGTCTCTTCTTATTATTGGTGTCCTTTAGTAGTGGTTTCTTTGCAGC